CCCTCTACTTTACCAAGCAGGATGTCCTCCAGGGACTGGTCCCTCCTGATAACATGCCCAAAGTATGTGAGACAAAGTCTTGCCATCCTTGCTTCTAAGGAGCATTCTGACTGTATTTCCTCCAAGACAGATTTATTCGTTCTTCTGGCAGTCCACAGTATGTTCAATTATTCTTTGCCAGCACCGTAATTCAAAGGCATCAATTCTTCTTGGATCTTCCATATCAACTGTCTAACTTTTGTGTGGATATGATATGATTGAAAACACCATGGCTTGGGTCAGGCGCATACCCATCCTTCTAGGGAATAATAATAATAACAATAAATATTAACTATTAATCATCGTCATCATTATTATTATTCCCTAGAAGGATGGGAATAATAATAATGATGACGATGATTAATAGTTATATTTATTGTCTCTATGTGCCATGCACATGGTGTTGTTACATCTGTTACTTTATTTAATGTTGACAATATAATGAGGTGAAGAGTTTCATAATTTTAGTTTGCAGTTGAAAAACGGAGATAAAGAGCAGATAAATAACTTTCTCAAAAACATAGTAGAGTCAGGACATGAACTTCAATAAGCAATAACTTCTCTGAAATCTCACTGAGCTTTATCTGTAACACTAATTGCTTTCTACCTTGAATTATCAGTCATATACCTGACTTGAGATACAGTGGTTTTTGGATAATATCTCTATTGTACCTTGTGTCTAGCACCTGGCTCTACAAATCAATGACCTTAATAAATGATCGTTGAATTAATTCATGACTAATAATTTTCTGTATGGTTGAATCTATATGGAGTACAAATAAAAGGTGGTAAGAGTTACCTCTCCATTTCTACCATTTTATTGTTCTTGTTTAACTGTTTGGCAGCTCAAATACCAGATTTTCAGAGATAAGGCTATTTAAACTGGGTATCTGGATTCCTAGGAAAAAGAGAGTCATTGGTACGGACAGCTTTAAGTTCAGTTACCTGAATGTATGTACAAACAGTCCAGCTTTATGGGAGGCTGAAGGTTTGAAAATTTGGGTCATTTTGCAGCTAGGAAATAATACATTTCTTAGATATTTTACTCTTAAGCATAGAATTTCACCTTCTATCACTAGTCTAACATATTCACTTGCACATATTCATAGAATGATACCCTTAACATTTCCACCACTTTTCTACTGTAATTTGAGAGCATGGTTTCCTAATTACAACTTTCCCATGAGACAGAGGGATTTCTAATTAATTCTATCTTGGGCATTAGACAGGTCTGGTGGTGCAGTGGTTAAAGTGATCAACTGCTAACCGAAAGGCGGGCAGTTCGAAATCACCAGTGGCTCTACAGGAGAAAGATGTGGCAGTCTGCTTCCATAGAGATTTACAGCCTTGGAAGCCCTATGGGGTCGCTATGAGTTGAAATCAGCATGATGGCAGTGGGTTTTGGGTTTTAGGCATTAGTGGAAATTACTCTACACACAAGAGCAACTTGGGAGGAGTAGAAAAGATATACTTTGTACTATTCCTAAGCTACAATTAAGTAATTAAATATTTATTACATGTCTACAGTGTTCCAACTGATGTTCTAGCATTAGAGATATAACTGTACAAAACAAGGCATACATCCTTGCCCTACATGAAGTTTATATATGAGTAGGTGGTAAACAATAACCTACGTATAGTATAATTATATATTCAATAGCAAGAAGTTTTATGAAGAAAAAATAATAAGATATACTTAGGGCCTAGGAAGTATTTGGGCTCAGTGTGATTTATTTTAAATATCATGAGTCAGGAATGGTTTCTCTTAGCAGGTAATATTTGAGCAATGAATCAGAGAAGTGAAGGAAAAGAGACGTTGCCCATGCATATATTCCAATGAAGAGTGTTCTAGGTAAAGAGAATACAAGTGCAAAGGCTCTGAGGTAGGAGCATTCCAGGTGTTGTTTGGATGGAGTGGCTAAGGTGGGCGTCATGGATTGAATTGTGAATCCCTAAAATATCTGTCAACTTGGCTAAGTCATGATTTCCAGTATTGTATGATTGTTTACTATTTTATCATCTGATGGGATTTCCCTATGTGTTGTAAATGCTATCACTATGATGTAATAAGATGGATTAGAGGCAGTTATATTGACGAGGTCTACAAAATTAGGTAGTGTCTTAAGCCAATCTCTTTTGAGATATAGAAGAGAGAAGCGAGCAGAGAGACATGGGGACCTCATACCATCAAGAAAGCAGTGCCGGGAACAGAGTGCGTCCTTTGGACCTGAGGTTCCTGCACTGAGATGCTTCCAGACCAAAGGAAGACTGACACATCACAAGAACCTTCCTCCAGAGCCGACAGAGAGAGAAAGCGTTCCCCTGGAGCTGATGCCTTGAATTTGGACTTGTAGCCTACTAGGCTGTGAAAGAATAAATTTCTCTTTGTTAAAAGCCACCCACTTGTGGTATTTCTGTTATATCAGCACTAGATGACTAAGACAGTGGGTGTGGAGAAGTAGAAAAATCATTGTGGGATCAGGTTACATAAGGACTAAAAAGATCATTATTAAGGCATTTGGCTTTCACTTAGAGTGAAATGGGAACCCACAGGAAGGTTTCAGCAGAGAAGTAACATTATCCAATTTATCTTTAAATGGATCTGTCTCAGTGCAGTGCTGATAGACTGAAAAGGAGCCAAGGGGGCTATGGCAAGAATCCAGGCAAGGAATGACGGCTTGGACCAGGGTGCAGTGTGAATGTGATGAAAAGTAGTTGGATTTTGGATGTGTTTTGAAGGTATAACTGAGAAATTTTGCTTACTGATTTGAAGTGGGATGTGAGATAGAGGAGACAAGATTGACTCCAAGGAATCTGGCCTGAAGAACTGGAAGAATGAAGTTTCTACTAACTGGGATAAGGTATTTGTTTCATGTATGTGTTTATTTATTCTTATCATTTTCCAAAAAAGTATTGGCGATTAAGTAGTAGAGCACTTTTTCTAACTTCCAATTTTATCTTTAATTTTCACTATGTTATTTGCCTGCTCCACATAGAATGTGCCCACACAGAAGAATTTAATTTATCACACCAATCTCCAGGCAAAAGGGGAGATGACAAACTCTTCCTTAGTTTTCAGAATTCAGTTTGAAGTCGCTGTGGTTGTGTTTCCAGCCTGTTTAGGCATACACTTCCTATCTCTCCACTTTCTATAAAATTCACTGCCATCAACATTTACTGAACACTTACTAGTGCAAAATATCAAGTTAAAATATACACAGTTATTTGAGGAAACAGACATGATATTGTAATATAAGCCATGATATAGTATTTGAACAATCAGTTGTCATGGGAGTAGCAAGGAAAGAAAAAAATAAATCTGACTAGAAGCATTTGTGGGGAGGTACTGTTTGAGCTGAGTCCTGATTTATTATTTTTCTGAGCAGGAGAGGGGCCAATATAGAAAGTAAAAAGAAGGTGAAGAGTATAAATTTCTTCTAAGCAATAAAGAAGTG